TATATGACTATAGCTGTAGGTGGATGTGATGGCTGTGTTATATGACTATAGCTGTAGATGGACGGCTGTGTTATGTGACTATAGCTGTAGGTGGATGTGATGGCTGTGTTATGTGACTATAGCTGTAGGTGGATGTGATGGCTGTGTTATGTGACTATAGCTGTAGGTGGATGGCTGTGTTATGTGACTATAGGTGTAGGTGGATGTGATGGCCGTGTTATATGACGATAGCTGTAGGTGGATGGCTGTGTTATATGACTACAGCGGTAGGTGGATGTTAAAGTTAATTTTATCATTAATTTTTTGGGACAATTGATTTTTTTGATAAAATCTTGTTATATTTATAAAATTTGTTTATAACACATGTCAAAACTTGTGTTTGCAGAAAGGGAAATTACATTTTGACATAAGTACTTAGGTCATGTTACAATAGGTCTGCCAGCATTTTGGTAACCCTTGGCAGCTTCCTTTTAGACCTTTAGCTCTGTGATGTCTCTCTAGCAATCTGGCAGCCTCCCTCCATGGTCTAGTGAATCGAGCATCTGCCCGGACAGTGGAAGGTCATGAGTTTGTTCCCAAGCTGTGTCATTCCAAAAGATGGTACTTGTTGTTACCCTGCCTGGCACTTGGCATAAAGGGGACAAAACAAGGACTGATCAGCTTGGAGTCTACTGTGTCTGAGTGGAAGCCTCGGGGGTTGGATCACTGACTTTGTGTGTTGGCGATTATGTGCCTCACTCTGGCAGTGTGGGTTAGAATCCCGGATGGGACTCAACCCCCCAAAAGTACGAGAATCTCTACTTTACTCAGAAAGTGCTATCCAAAATATAACATGTGTTACAATTAATCATTTGTAAAAAAACAGTAATTTTTTTATGATATATACGGTAGGGATTGTCAAAGTACATTTTAACCACAATACTACTGCAATAGTTCCAGAGTCCAAATAAGTCCTCCTCCCTCCTTGTTTGACCCAAAACAAATGTTTGCTCTGGTTTTTAAGCAGCATCACATGGGGCCAGCAAGTTCCAATTCTCCAAACTGTAGAATACAAATACAGAATAACCATGGAAACAAAAAAATGGAAACAAATTTAAAACGTTGGGCACTCTTGAGACTGTGAGACAAGCAATCTCAAAGTGAGAGATGTAATTAAAAATGCAGGGTGACATGAATGTTGCCCATGACTCATTAAAAAATTCCACGACTTGACGACAATTTGTAGCACAGCTGAGCACAGGGCAGCTTGAATTCTTAATTACACACACGGATGGTTCAACGCAGATTTGAGCTTGTTTAATATTGCTAATAATGTTAGGCAAACTAGCCTCATTTGTTTCATTACAAATTGTTCATTTTGGCGTGAGGTTCAGATTGTGGAAACAAAAGATTTTGATGATGTTGACATGCTTCATGAACTGATGTCTTCTGGAGGGTTGTGTGTGGTTGGGTTTAAGGCTGAGTTGTTTGTGTTTACTCATGAAGTGATAATAATATGTTTGCCAGTATTACGACAGTGATTGATGTAGAATTATAGAAACAAAAGAATGAACACATGGCAATATTGTCATAACATGGTTTACTGATGTGTTCAATATAAAAAAAAAAGTTCTTATTTTGAGTTAGTGAGTGGGTTTAACATCACTATTAATAGTATCCCAGTTATATCGTGGTGTGTCAGCTTGATGTGGGAGGAAAGCTGAAGTAATGCAGGTCTTAGACATTTAACACTTTTGTGAAACCCACGAGCACAGGTATGGTGCTGACAAACCTAGAAACATAATCGGGCGAACCGGGATTCAAAACCATGATCATAGATTTCTGGTGTGTCCAAGGGAAGCAACTCTGCAAAGTGAACTGCAGTGCCTTAGTCTCCTAGGCCACCATGCCCCCAGGGAAACAATATGGTGGAGTGGCATGATAGATAGAGTATGTAAGCCACTTTGCCAATCTCATGGAAATATTGATAAAGGACACAGATATTGGAAACTGGGACACATTATGGACTGAGTGCTATCGTTGCAAAATGTCAAACAGTTCTGCCTGTCTTTTGGGGTATATATGTATACACACACATGCACACTCACACGCAAACACACACACACTCTTACCACCTACACGCACACACACACACACACACACACACACACACACACACACACACACACACACACACACACACACACACACACACACACACACACACACACACACACACAGAGTTTGTTCCTGGACCACCCCCGTGGTCTAGTTGTAGAGTATCCACCCGATGAGTGGAAGGTCCGGGGTTCAATCCCCGGCTGCGTCATACCAAAAGGCATACAAAGATCGTACTTGTTGTTAAGGGGCTTAAACAAGGACTGTTTGGCTTGGAGTCATTATACTATGTCTGAGTGGGTTATTCATGTTCAACTGTAGTATAGTATCTCAATGGGCTAACAATATTGCTAATAATGTTAGGCAAACTAGCCTCATTTGTTTCATTACAAATTGTTCATTTTGGCGTGAGGTTCAGATTGTGGAAACAAAAGATTTTGATGATGTTGACATGCTTCATGAACTGATGTCTTCTGGAGGGTTGTGTGTGGTTGGGTTTAAGGCTGAGTTGTTTGTGTTTACTCATGAAGTGATAATAATATGTTTGCCAGTATTACGACAGTGATTGATGTAGAATTATAGAAACAAAAGAATGAACACATGGCAATATTGTCATAACATGGTTTACTGATGTGTTCAATATAAAAAAAAAAGTTCTTATTTTGAGTTAGTGAGTGGGTTTAACATCACTATTAATAGTATCCCAGTTATATCGCGGTGTGTCAGCTTGATGTGGGAGGAAAGCTGAAGTAATGCAGGTCTTAGACATTTAACACTTTTGTGAAACCCACGAGCACAGGTATGGTGCTGACAAACCTAGAAACATAATCGGGCGAACCGGGATTCAAAACCATGATCATAGATTTCTGGTGTGTCCAAGGGAAGCAACTCTGCAAAGTGAACTGCAGTGCCTTAGTCTCCTAGGCCACCATGCCCCCAGGGAAACAATATGGTGGAGTGGCATGATAGATAGAGTATGTAAGCCACTTTGCCAATCTCATGGAAATATTGATAAAGGACACAGATATTGGAAACTGGGACACATTATGGACTGAGTGCTATCGTTGCAAAATGTCAAACAGTTCTGCCTGTCTTTTGGGGTATATATGTATACACACACATGCACACTCACACGCAAACACACACACACTCTTACCACCTACACACACACACACACACACACACACACACACACACACACACACACACACACACACACACACACACAGAGTTTGTTCCTGGACCACCCCCGTGGTCTAGTTGTAGAGTATCCACCCGATGAGTGGAAGGTCCGGGGTTCAATCCCCGGCTGCGTCATACCAAAAGGCATACAAAGATCGTACTTGTTGTTAAGGGGCTTAAACAAGGACTGTTTGGCTTGGAGTCATTATACTATGTCTGAGTGGGTTATTCATGTTCAACTGTAGTATAGTATCTCAGTGGGCTAACAATATTGCTAATAATGTTAGGCAAACTAGCCTCATTTGTTTCATTACAAATTGTTCATTTTGGCGTGAGGTTCAGATTGTGGAAACAAAAGATTTTGATGATGTTGACATGCTTCATGAACTGATGTCTTCTGGAGGGTTGTGTGTGGTTGGGTTTAAGGCTGAGTTGTTTGTGTTTACTCATGAAGTGATAATAATATGTTTGCCAGTATTACGACAGTGATTGATGTAGAATTATAGAAACAAAAGAATGAACACATGGCAATATTGTCATAACATGGTTTACTGATGTGTTCAATATAAAAAAAAAAGTTCTTATTTTGAGTTAGTGAGTGGGTTTAACATCACTATTAATAGTATCCCAGTTATATCGTGGTGTGTCAGCTTGATGTGGGAGGAAAGCTGAAGTAATGCAGGTCTTAGACATTTAACACTTTTGTGAAACCCACGAGCACAGGTATGGTGCTGACAAACCTAGAAACATAATCGGGCGAACCGGGATTCAAAACCATGATCATAGATTACTGGTGTGTCCAAGGGAAGCAACTCTGCAAAGTGAACTGCAGTGCCTTAGTCTCCTAGGCCACCATGCCCCCAGGGAAACAATATGGTGGAGTGGCATGATAGATAGAGTATGTAAGCCACTTTGCCAATCTCATGGAAATATTGATAAAGGACACAGATATTGGAAACTGGGACACATTATGGACTGAGTGCTATCGTTGCAAAATGTCATACTTTTGGGGTATATATGTATACACACACATGCACACTCACACACAAACACACACACACACACACACACACACACACACACACACACACACACACACACACACACACACACACACACACACACACACACACACACACACACACACAGACACACACAGAGACACAGAGTGTTCCTTGACCGACCCCGTGGTCTAGTTGTAGAGTATCCACCCGATGAGTGGAAGGTCCGGGGTTCAATCCCCGGCTGCGTCATACCAAAGACGTACAAAGATCGTACTTGTTGTTAAACAAGGACTGTTTGGCTCGGAGTCATTATACTGTGTCTGAGTGGGTTATTCATGTTCAACTGTAGTATAGTATCTCAGTGGGCTAGCACTATAAAATCGACAGTAGTCCGGACTAGTACAAGCAGACACACACACACACACACACACACACACACACACACACACACACACACACACACACACACACACACACACACACACACACACACGTACGTGCAGGCATGTAGCTTTATATGTGCAATAATCTTGGACGCGATGTTAAACTTCATTTCACCTCACCTCAGATTGTTCCTCTCACGTTGTGGACACTTAGCTGTGTTACATCTGACATACTGTGCAGAGAAGTGTTAACTCACCATTGTTAATCTGTGCAGCATATTTTCATCTATAGGATTAATTAATAACTTTATGAATATTATTTTTCTGTTTTCAGGAGCATTTCAAGTGAGAGCACTTTGCGGTCATCCAAAGCTCTCAGTGCATCCAAGTCTTCTCTGTTCACTAATTTCAAAGACACGGCCCGAGTTCGGTTTCAAACGATGCGTAAAGCAATGAGCATGGACAGAGGGCTGGACGAGGTAAACCACGACGAGAAAAATAAGTCCGGGAAGAAGGAGAAAGGCGAGAAAGTGAAGGAGAAGAATAAGGGAGAGAAGGAGAAGAAAGAGAAGAAGAAAAAGAGTGATGGCAAGATGAAGAAGGCGCCTTCTCTGAAGTCTTTGAGCTCATTATTTGGTAGGAAGAATCGGGACCGCCTCTCATCCGTGGAGGGTGAGGGAGAGGAAAACATTGATGAACCTGTTAAGTAAGTGAAGCATAGGAAAATATTTGGGAGAACATTTGATTTTTTTTATGACAATGAGTGAGTGAGTGAGTTTGGTTTTACGCCGCTTTTAGCAATATTCCAGCAATATCACGGCGGAGGACACCAGAAATGGGCTTCACACATTGTACCCATGTCGGGATTCGAACCCGGGTCTTCGGCGTGACGAGCGAACGCTTTAACCACTAGGCTACCTGACCGCCCCTTATGACAATGAGGGTTTTGGGGTAGCTTAGTGGTTAAAGCGTTCGCTCGTCACACCGAAGACCAGGGTTTCGATTCCCCACATGAGTACAATGTGTGAAGCCCATTTCTGATGTCCCACACCTTGTCATTGCTGGAATATTGCTAAAAACACCCTAAAACCATACTCACTCACTCACTCATGACAATGAGGCCAACTCTTTAGTAACCTTCCGGTGTTTCTCATTATTCAGACAATCTTTGGATATTTTAATGTTTATTTTAGTGTGTGTGTTTGCATGGGTGTGAGTGCATGAGCGTTTGTATATTGAATTTATGTTTTAGATGTTTTGATCGTGGACCTTTTTTATTAAATTCCAAATGACTTGAGCCATAACATTTTAAGGTTTCTTTAAGTTTTATGCATTTCAACTAAATTTGAGTTCTGATGGTATTAACTGTACATTGAGTGTTCCCGATTTGTGAATCGTGTTAACAAGCTATGGTCAATGTCAACTGTTGGTTCACTATTTGGACACAAATGGTACCCTTTTAAAACTTGGTGTTGATCCCCGCTCATGTCATCCAAAATATGTTATAAAAAGGTGGTGCTTGTTGTTGCCCTGCCTGGCACTCGATATTCACAGGATACACAAGAACTCGTCGGCTTGAGTCAGTATACCGTGTCTAAACTGTGGCATGTGGCAAATCAAAATTAACTTGGTATGGCTATTTTGTGGTATGATATGTGTGGAATTTGTGCTTTACATCACTTCCTGTTTTGGATTGTGCATAATCTGTATGCATACGATCTAGGTTGGGTCAAGGGACATTGTCCAAACAAATGGCTTCTTTTATAATCAATTTTGAATGGCGTTAGGGGTAATTCCACTTCAAAAACATTCTGGAAACTATCATAAAAAAGTTAACGTGTATACTTTCGAATAGCAGTTACATACCGCAACGAGTCCTGTATTCGATCAAGCAATGATATATTGTGTTTGGTTTGCATAATTAAGCAGTCAACAGTGGGTATGGATTACAAGATTTACCGATACTGCGATAATATAGAGTCAAAATTTAAATAATTCATCGTTTGTCAGCTTGCTAAACCAAACATCGCACTAATTATTAGAATACTCCATTCCTTTCAGAAAAGGCAAGAAAGAAAGGGGTTTCTTCAAGTCCAAGAAGAAGAGACAGATCTCTACACCCATCAGTACCGTGGATATGCCGACCCACTTCCGGTGTATTGGCAAACTGAAGGCAGTCAACCCTGATGGCAGTCAGATCATAGAGCTGTCTAAACCTCCAGATGGGCCTATAGGCTTCTATATTGCCAAGGGCACAGTTAACTATGATTACGGTAAGTACATCGTGACGAGGGTAAAGCAAAGGCTTCTATATTGCCAAGGGCACAGTTAACTATGATTACGGTAAGTACATCGTGACGAGGGTAAAGCAAAGGCTTCTATATTGCCAAGGGCACAGTTAACTATGATTACAGTAAGTACATCGTGACGAGGGTAAAGCAAAAGCTTCTATATTGCCAAGGGCACAGTTAACTATGATTACAGTAAGTACATCGTGACGAGGGTAAAGCAAAGGCTTCTATATTGCCAAGGGCACAGTTAACTATGATTACAGTAAGTACATCGTGACGAGGGTAAAGCAAAAGCTTCTATATTGCCAAGGGCACAGTTAACTATGATTACAGTAAGTACATCGTGACGAGGGTAAAGCAAAGGCTTCTATATTGCCAAGGGCACAGTTAACTATGATTACAGTAAGTACATCGTGACGAGGGTAAAGCAAAGGCTTCTATATTGCCAAGGGCACAGTTAACTATGATTATGGTAAGTACATCATGACGAGGTTAAAGCAAAGGCTTCTATATTGCCAAGGGCACAGTTAACTATGATTACAGTAAGTACATCGTGACGAGGGTAAAGCAAAGGCTTCTATATTGCCAAGGGCACAGTTTACTATGATTACGGTAAGTACATTGTGACGAGGTTAAAGCAAAGGCTTCTACATTGACAAGGGCACAGTTAACTTTGATTACAGTAAGTACATCGTTACGAGGGTAAAGCAAAGGCTTCTATATTGCCAAGGACAGTTTACTATGATTACGGTAAGTACATTGTGACGAGGGTAAAGCAAAGGCTTCTATATTGCCAAGGCCACAGTTAACTATGATTACGGTAAGTACATCGTGACGAGGGTAAAGCAAAGGCTTCTATATTGCTAAGGGCACAGTTAACTATGATTACGGTAAGTACATTGTGACGAGGGTAAAGCAAAGGCTTCTATATTGCTAAGGGCACAGTTAACTATGATTACAGTAAGTACATCGTGACGAGGGTAAAGCAAAGGCTTCTACATTGCCAAGGGCACAGTTAACTTTGATTACGGTAAGTACATCGTGACGAGGGTAAAGTAAAGGCTTCTATATTGCCAAGGACACAGTTTACTATGATTACGGTAAGTACATTGTGACGAGGGTAAAGCAAAGGCTTCTACATTGCCAAGGGCACAGTTAACTTTGATTACAGTAAGTACATCGTTACGAGGGTAAAGCAAAGGCTTCTATATTGCCAAGGACAGTTTACTATGATTACGGTAAGTACATCGTGACGAGGGTAAAGCAAAAGCTTCTATATTGCCAAGGGCACAGTTAACTATGATTACAGTAAGTACATCATGACGAGGGTAAAGCAAAGGCTTCTATATTGCCAAGGGCACAGTTAACTATGATTACAGTAAGTACATCGTGACGAGGGTAAAGCAAAGGCTTCTATATTGCCAAGGGCACAGTTAACTATGATTATGGTAAGTACATCATGACGAGGTTAAAGCAAAGGCTTCTATATTGCCAAGGGCACAGTTAACTATGATTACAGTAAGTACATCGTGACGAGGGTAAAGCAAAGGCTTCTATATTGCCAAGGGCACAGTTTACTATGATTACGGTAAGTACATTGTGACGAGGTTAAAGCAAAGGCTTCTACATTGACAAGGGCACAGATAACTATGATTACGGTAAGTACATCGTGACGAGGGTAAAGCAAAAGCTTCTATATTGCCAAGGGCACAGTTAACTATGATTACGGTAAGTACACCATGACGAGGGTAAAGCAAAGGCTTCTATATTGCCAAGGCCACAGTTAACTATGATTACGGTAAGTACATCGTGACGAGGGTAAAGCAAAGGCTTCTATATTGCTAAGGGCACAGTTAACTATGATTACGGTAAGTACATTGTGACGAGGGTAAAGCAAAGGCTTCTATATTGCTAAGGGCACAGTTAACTATGATTACAGTAAGTACATCGTGACGAGGGTAAAGCAAAGGCTTCTACATTGCCAAGGGCACAGTTAACTTTGATTACGGTAAGTACATCGTGACGAGGGTAAAGTAAAGGCTTCTATATTGCCAAGGACACAGTTTACTATGATTACGGTAAGTACATTGTGACGAGGGTAAAGCAAAGGCTTCTACATTGCCAAGGGCACAGTTAACTTTGATTACAGTAAGTACATCGTTACGAGGGTAAAGCAAAGGCTTCTATATTGCCAAGGACAGTTTACTATGATTACGGTAAGTACATTGTGACGAGGGTAAAGTAAACGCTTCTATATTGCCAAGGACACAGTTTACTATGATTACGGTAAGTACATTGTGACGAGGGTACAGCAAAGGCTTCTATATTGCCAAGGGCACAGTTTACTATGATTATGGTAAGTACATCGTGATCGTTGGTATCGACCCAACCCTAATGCCAATGTACCCTGACAACATGACTCTTTGCTGATAATATCAATCCCTGGTTTGCCTGGTCTGGACTTGATTATGTACAGGCCACTGTCATAATCCTGGAATATTGTGGAGTGTTGTGTTCGCAAACAAACAAACAAACCACAGTGATAAGCCTAGTAGTTAAAGTGTTCATTTGTCTCACCAAAGTCAATAGGTTCTATTCCCAACATGAGTACCAGGTGTAACCCCATTCTGGTGTCTCCCGGGGCATGGCTGGCCCTGTCGTCTAAGACGCCGCAATTCGCTGTGTCGAGTTGCGTCCCTTGGACATGCCAGAAACCTATGATTGTGGGTTCGAATCCCGGTTCGCCCCGATTATGTTTCTAGGTTTGTCAGCATCATATCCATGCTTGTGGGTTTCACCGAAGTGGTAAACGTCTAAGACCTGCATCACTTCGGCTTTCCTCCCACATCAAGCTGACATGGCGCAATATAAGTGGAATACTGTTAAAAGTGGCATTAAACCTAACTCACTCACTCACTCTGGTGTCCCAACTGTGATATTTCCTGAATATTGCTAAGCAATACTCACTCACTTTCGGCCCCAACTTATGTACTATGATTTATTTTGTAGGTATCTTTGTGTCAAGATTCACTGACGATCAGCAGAAACTCTTTGCTGGGATTCTTGGAGTGGGAGATGAAATTCTTGAAGTAAATGATCAGTCAGTTCAAGACAAATCCCTTGACGATGTTTATGCCCTCATGGCAGAGACTGATAAGCCAATCATGAAAGTCTTCCCAATCGTAGCGAGAAAAGAAGTCTGAAGAATAAGACCAATGCTTGATGCTTGAACATTGCTGCTTGGTTATCGATGCTTGGACATCAATGGTTGGTCAATGTTACTTTAAACATTGATGCATTTTTGCTGACGTAGTCAATGTTTGGACATTGATGTGAGGGATAAGGACATGAACAGTTTTCAGAACTGAAATTTGTTTGCACATTTTTGCTACAAGTTAAATAGGTCCTCTACTTACATAGGATCTGCCCTTGAAGCCATAACCTGTCCCCGAAGCTGGATGCCTGTCCATGAGGTTAGAACCTGTACCTGAGGCTAGTACTTGTTCCTGAAGCTAGAGCTGTTCCTGAAGCTAGAGCCTGTCCCCAAAGCTAGAGCCTCTTCCTGAAGCTAGAGCCTGTCCCCAAAGCTAGAGCCTGTTCCTGAAGCTAGAGCCTGTTCCTGAAGCTAGAGCCTGTTCCTGAAGCTAGAGTCTGACCGACCCCGAAGCTAGAACCTGTCCCCAAAGCTAGAACCTGTCCCCAAATCTAGAGCCTATCCCTGAGGCCAAAACCCTTTTCCTGAGGCTAAAACCTGTCCCTGAGGCTAGAGCCTGTTCCTGAGGCTAGAGCCTGTCCCTGAAGCTAGAGCCTGTCCCTGAAGCTAGAGCCTGTTCCGGAAGCTAGATCTTGTCCCTGAGGCTAGAACCTGTCCCTGTAGCTAGAGCCTGTAGGCCTACCTGAGGCTAGAACCTGTCCTTAAGCTAGAACCTGTCCTTGAGGCTAGAGACAAATGGGTAGTAACAGCAGGACAGAAATATGTTGTGTTTGTTTGATGTTTGTAACTGGAAATACTTTGTCTCAGGATTAGCAGTGTCAGACAACTTTCGAACTCTGCTGCACTGCTTGACTAAACCACCAGTGTGTGGTGCTCATGCATCACAGATACCCCATAGAATAGAATGATGTCTGAAACTGATCTTAATTGTACATATTATCATAGATATTTATTTACTTTGTAATGTAAATATGTAAATGAATAGACTGGAGACTAGATTACAATGTATCACAATTTTGTGTCAGTCTGTTGGATAGAATATAGTACCATATGTTTAGCTGAGCTTCTATGTTGAGGTCACTTAAGATCTATGCTGTATTTTCTCAGGTAATTAAATCAGAACTTGCATGTTTTAATCTCGATTGACCAAATAAGGAAATAGAGACATTGTTTCAGAGAAGTTACTCCTATAGGGTGTATACCTATCGCCATGGAAACTGAATGGAAGATCTAGGGAATTTGTAACTTATTTGTTCCTCGAACATGGAGAACCCAGTTTTGATGCTATTATAAATTGTAACTGAATTACTTTTGGTGTTGCTTAGTTTTTCAAATTCTATTTTAATTTTAAGAAAAGAATTTAGAAAAAAAATGAGATTTTCATATTTTATTTGTGCAATGGAAATTCTTCAGCAAATAAGAATGTTGAAATACTCCTTGAATTTGAAAAAGAGGATAATAAATTGTAACAGGTATGTACAAAAACATATTGTTGCCTTAAGTACTTGAAACACACATTCCTATTTTAAGAACGAAAATGCTGTTTTGATATTCTAGCAATGAATATATTAATTGGCAAATAATAATAATAATTAGGATACACTGTTCAATAAATGATTCAAGATGCTGTTCAGAAGAGAGCATTATAAATCAATCTTGATATTGATATGCATTTATTTGTATTTTATATACATCGCGTCACAACTTTGTGACAAAGGCAATATCTTAGCAGTGTTTATAACATGTGTATAAACAGTAAGGAAAAGATTTTCTGAGATATTGAATTCTAGATCAACATGTTTTGAATGATGATTCAATATATACTGAACAAAACAAATTAGGGACAAATGTTTTTGGGGATATTTTTTTGAAGTGAAGACTGAAAACACAATTTTATAAAAATATCCCACAAAATATTCATGGTCTCTTAATTTTTATTCTTCAGTGTATTTATGTTGTAAATATGTAGAAAAACCTACCATTTGATATTAAACAATGTGAGATATGCACAGTGCTTTTCAGCTGCAGCTATAAGGATATGCCATGGAATATTCACCCTCATCAATGGATTGCTGATAGTGTCTTTTAGAGAATATAGCCATGTCAACTTAAAACAGTTGGGGAGTTTATGAATGTTTTATCTGAAATATGTCAACACACACAAAGAATTCCATGTCGATATGCAGTTTACATATTTTGAATTTCATCTACTAGTAGTCGAAATTATTTATTGTTAGATTATTTATGATTGAAATTTGGTGTTAAATGTGATACCGTATTCAATGTAATAAGCGCCCAGGGCGCTCTCAAAATTAGAAATAGGGGGCGCTTATTAGAATATTATTTTGAGTTGAAAGATCGTAAATTTCGTGGTTTATGCTAACAGCCTGAAATGTTTACATACGACAGATATATTTTTCAAGAATTTAATTGCCCATAATTAAGGGTGATATAACACACGAGTGTGTATTATTCACGAATAAATCAGTCTTGTGTACATGGATCAATCGGAAGGGGTGCTGATTGGGATTGTTCACTAGCCAGTATATTAGCAAATATCGCCGTGGGCGCTTAATAGAGCGGGGCGCTTATTACGTCGAATACGGTAATCATAAGTAGAAGAACTCATGTAACTTATGTTTGTGAATGCTGAGTGAGTGCATCAAGCTCCTTCCCAGGACACCTTCGTTACACTCTGGGTAACATCGCTGCCACCAGTGTGGGCACGGCCATTACAAGAGTCTTGAAATTTGCCTTCTTAACCCCAAATGTAGTAACATTTATACTTTTGTTTATGTCTTTGGGAATGCAATCATTGTGAATTTTAAAAAGATTTATGACTAACCAGATTTCCCAGATGAATTTACCTTTTTGTTTGTTTGATCTGATTGGTTCGTGATTGCAGACGAAGGGAAAATCAACCAAGCTCCTTCTTACATTCTTACTATATACATTACATGATGGTTGAAATGAAATAGAAATTCAGATTGACAAACAAAGAAAATAATTTAGCATGGGTAAGAGTATTTGGCGTCATGGCAGTCATCACTTGTTTGTAAACATGAAGGACAGAGGGCTGCGAGTTCAACTCCAAGCATGGTCGTAGCCACCTATATCACAGTGGGGAGCTTTGACTGGTGGCAGCGATAGTATCGAGAGCTCCACGAACGGGATATCGCTGTGAGGAGCTTGGTGAGTGCATGGTGCAAGGGAGATAACTCTATTTAAGGAATGGGAAGGAGGTCTGACATGTTGAGTTGTCAGGACGCAGTCCACTGAAAACTCATTGACTCAATGTCACTTTAAAGAAGGAGGAGGGTGTATGGCAATAGCAGCTTTGTAATTAAAGCCTTTTTATCATGAATAATTATATCACTAAAACTCAGTGAATATTATTCAGCAAATAAGAATGATAATAATAATACTCATTGCGCTGAAAAATGATTATAAGAAAACTGGTAGGCCATGTGTACAAAACTTTTTCCTTGTTCTTGTTCAGGTTAAGTTTATATCGTAAAAAACAAATAGGATATTATGTTTTAATATTTGAGCAGTGACTACCCTTTTAACAAAAAAAATAATATGATAATGATAATATACTTGCATTAAGAAAGTGTATTAGATGATTCAGATACTATTCAGAAGAGATCCGCCCTCTTGTTGACTTGATCCTGCTCGACACAAACAGCACAAGAGTTTATGAGACCTGCAAATTTGTAATTAAAACCATTACTGTGGAACCAGCAAGGATTATAAACCCTGGCAACCTGAGAGTTAACTGTATAATCTAGTTTTATATTAATCCTTCAAATAGTCAAACAGATTTTCGACCCTTGTCAAGTATAATTTTTAATCATTTGAAAAGGGACAAGAATTCAGATTTCTTTCCCCAAATATTGGTATTAATCCTTTTATAACAGGAAAACAATACCTCAAGTCTTTTGTCAGTTTTGATATTATCTCCATTTAAGAACAAGTGTTGATTGTGAAATGACCTATAATTTGTGTGCAGTGTTATAACTAATCATCTTCTGTTATCAAGGGAGTTACAGATTTTGTCTTATAGTGATGCGATTTCCCAAATGGTGAACAATTAATTTCTGTATTGAATAAGACTGATAATTGATACCAAAAGAAAATTTTGTAAATGCTGCAAAATGTGAATGATCAAAATATTTAATATTTATTATTTAATAATCATAATATTTAATATTTAATATTTCTTTTTTTTTGTTCAGTGGGTGTGCAAAAATACCTGGAGGTCAATGATACAAATATGCAAATCTACAGAGATTATCAAAATTTGTTTCCTCATCTACATGGCTGCTACTGGAGTTTGATAATGGTGCAGTTGGAAAATATAAATTTATGCAACAATCGCAGGATTGAAATATCAAAATGTGGATTTACTAACTTATTTGACATGCAAATATTGCCATGCTGCATACTATCAGGTTGTCATGCTGTATGCTAAGATGGTGTCACAGTGTCATGATAATCTGATATATACTACTCAAAGAAAGTTAAGGATCATGCAATTCTATAAAATAGTGAATCTGGCATGCCGTGAAAATATGATGTAAAGTATGAAAGGATCAAATGGTCAATAACTTGTTTTGAGTAGTTTCTGAAATGCTTGGCATAATTGGGGATGCATAACGTTAATTTTTTACTTACCATTTGGTGTGAAAATACATTTGTTGAACGCACTTCCAGAATGAGGTGTTAAGAGGAGCTAATAAAATGTACATGAATATGCAATGACAAGGTTAAGGAAGTTTAGATCCAATTTTTCACAAGGATACACATCAACGAATTTTTTGTTATTGTGGTCATTGTATGGTAATGAGTGATGTCTCGTTTACATATCTCGTCACTAAGCAATTATGACTGAAACTAGTTGTATTTTTGTATATTTTGAAAATGAGGATTATTAAAATGTTCAAAATCATGTTGACTTTGTTGTATGTTATTGGGATGGAAAATGGTGGCCTTGTGATCTGTGGTGCACGATCTGGTGCAGTGTTGCATCCCTTAGTTGTGACAGGATCTGCTGATTGTGGGTTCAGATCACATTTTTTTGTTCTGATTTAACACACCCTTGTTTGGCAATATAGTGGTTGACATTTACGACACATTGACTTCCCTTACTGCAACAGTTGTGTCTTTTGTCCCATATTCTACATTGACTTCCCTTACTGCAACAGTTGTGTCTTTTATCCCATATTCTACATTGACTTCCCTTACTGCAACAGTTGTGTCTTTTATCCCATATTCTACATTGACTTCCCTTACTGCAACAGTTGTGGCTTTTGTCCCATATTCTACATTGCCTTCCCTTACTGCAACAGTGGTGTCCTTTGTCCCATATTCTACATTGACTTCCCTTACTGCAACAGTTGTGTCTTTTATCCCATATTCTACATTGCCTTCCCTTACTGCAACAGTTGTGGCTTTTCTCCCATATTCTACATTGCCTTCCCTTACTGCAACAGTTGTGTCCTTTGTCCCATATTCTACATTGCCTTCCCTTACTGCAACAGTTGTGTCCTTTGTCCCATATTCTACATCGACTTCCCTTACTGCAACAGTTGTGGCTTTTGTCCCATATTCTACATCGACTTCCCTTACTGCAACAGTTGTGTCTTTTGTCCCATATTCTACATTGCCTTCCCTTACTGCAACAGTTGTGTCTTTTGTCCCATATTCTACATTGACTTCCCTTACTGCAACTGTTGTGTCTTTTGTCCCATATTCTACATTGACTTCCCTTACTGCAACAGTTGTGTCTTTTGTCCCATATTCTACATTGACTTTCCTTACTGCAACAGTTGTGTCTTTTGTCCCATATTCTACATTGACTTCCCTTACTGCAACAGTTGTGGCTTTTGTCCCATATTCTACATTGACTTCCCTTACTGCAACAGTTGTGTCCTTTGTCCCATATTCTACATTGACTTTCCTTACTGCAACAGTTGTGTCTTTCGTCCCATATTCTACATTGACTTTCCTTACTGCAACAGTTGTGGCTTTTGTCCCATATTCTACATTCACTTCCCTTACTGCAACAGTTGTGGCTTTTATCCCATATTCTACATTGCCTTCCCTTACTGCAACAGTTGTGTCTTTTGTCCCATTTTCTACATTGACTTCCCTTAATGCAACAGTTGTGGCTTTTATGCCATATTCTACATTCACTTCCCTTACTGCAACAGTTGTGGCTTTTATCCCATACTCTACATTGCCTTCCCTTACTGCAACAGTTGTGTCTTTTGTCCCATATTCTACATTGACTTCCCTTACTGCAACAGTTGTGGCTTTTATGCCATATTCTACATTGACTTCCCTTACTGCAACAGTTGTGTCTTTCGTCCCATATTCTACATTGACTTTCCTTACTGCAACAGTTGTGTCTTTTGTCCCATATTCTACATTGACTTTCCTTACTGCAACAGTTGTGTCTTTCGTCCCATATTCTACATTGCCTTTCCTTACTGCAACAGTTGTGGCTTTTGTCCCATATTCTACATTGACTTTCCTTACTGCAACAGTTGTGTCTTTCGTCCCATATTCTACATTGCCTTTCCTTACTGCAACAGTTGTGTCTTTCGTCCCATATTCTACATTGCCTTTCCTTACTGCAACAGTTGTGGCTTTTGTCCAATATTCTACATTGACTTTCCTTACTGCAACAGTTGTGTCTTTCGTCCCATATTCTACATTGCCTTCCCTTACTGCAACAGTTGTGGCTTTTGTCCCATATTCTACATTGACTTTGGAAAATACTTTATTCTGATAGGGTCCCATGAAGATCCGGGTTATAATTGGTCTTCAGCAACCCATGATTGTCATAAAAGAGGCGAGAAACAGGATTGGGTGGGCAGGTTCGCTGACTTGGTTAGTGCATGTCATCGTATCCCAGTTGCATAAATCAATGCTCATGATATCAATCACTTGATTGTCTGGCCAAAATTAGATTTTTTACAGACCGCAATCATAAAACCTTTGCTTGTGTGGCGTTAAACAATAAACAAACTAACAAACATTCTGATTGGTCAACATCTCATCACCATCACTGTTTTTTCACTAATCTTGACAAAAACATTTTCACATAGGAAAAACTATTCCTATAATATACATGTGATAAATGAATAATATTTTACCAGAAACTAACCACGCTTTTTCAATTTTCGTGAGCTGTTTTTATTTTGTGATCACCTTTTACATCATGGCATGATTATTGTCCTTGTCATTCATGCAATGCTTTACACTAAGGTAATGTCTTTTGAAAAACAAGTTGTTAAAAAGAAAGTTATCTTAAACAGTGTTATTGACCGCAGTGATTTTATGACACTTCAACCATATCATGGTAACAAACGAGTGCTGAGTTTA